ACACACACACACACACACACAAAAGAGGGAGAGTTTCAGAGACAGTACTACGGCACTTGCAACACGATAAGGTCATATATTTGCGGAGGATTAGACGTTTTACAAGAAAGTAACAAACATATAAAGAAGTTCTTTTTCGTGTGAAAGTTTTACGGCACTTGCAACACAATGCTGTCACATACAAGTGGTGGGGATAAGAAGTGTATACGAGAGAGCAACAAACACTAAAAAGTTTGGGGGGGGGGGTTTGGGTCCAGGTTTTACGGCACTTGCAACACGATAAGTTTAAACAAGTGCCGAAGATCAGAGGTGTTTCAAGGGAGTCATCATCATCATCATCATTGCCTTTCTCACCCTGCACTAGGGTATAGGCCACGGACAAACACTTTCCACCTCTCTCTGTCCTGGGCTAGCCTCTTGATGTTATTCCATGTCTTCCCACTTTTCTGTACATCGATTTCTGTGATTCTTCTCCAGGTTCCACGCGGTCTTCCCCTTGATCTCTTACCCTCTGGGTTCCAATCCAAAAAATTCTTTGTTATGCAGCTGGCTGACTTCCTGAGAGTGTGTTCAATCCATCGCCGCCGCCTTCTTCCTACCTCATCTCTGACTGGGATCTGTCTTGTTTTCCTTGACACTTCCTCGTTGGTGACCATGTCTGTCCATCTGATCTCCGTACCTTTCTTAGACACCTGTTCAAGAAAACCTTGATCCTTTTTTTTCAAGAGAGTAACTAACTGTTAAAAGTTACAACTAGAGAGTGGCATATAAATAACAGAAGGAGGAAAGATAAGGATGGTTGATAATGTTTGACGGGAAAGGAGGAGCAAACCACACCAGAGAGGGCGGTTGGCAGGTGCTCTGGTGTGGTTTGCTTCTTCTTTCCTATCAAACGTCTATCGTCTTTATCTCCCCTTCTTCTTTTTTGTGTTTGTTACTCTCTTGCAACACCTCTAATTTTCGGAATTTATATGACCTTGTTGCGTTCCAAGTGCCGTAAAACTCTTACTTAAACTTTAAACCACATCAGTGCATCTTTATAAAATACACATTTACAAAATCACACAAGGCCGTGATCTCAAGCAAACATTCCACACAACATGAAAGTGTTCCCGGGAAGAGATGGACAGGGTGTACAGAAGATGGGCCGGCCAAAGACAAACCCAACTCATTTTAGGAGCAATTTTGAAGCCATAATTTACAAGAGATTCCAAACGTGTTTTAGTAGGCAGGGGTTGATACAATAATGTCGTGTCTGTCTAGGGGAAACGTGATCGACACACAAACAGAGGGTGAGACTGAGGGAG